TTAAAAAAAAAAAAAAAAAGAAATGTTAAATCGTTCGAATTACTTTATTTCTTTATTAGTATTTTTATCTTTTACATCAAAAATTCGTGGTTTTTTTAATTAATGTTGGTATTAGGTCAAGGAAAAAAATAATGGAGAATTTTAATCGTTATAATATTATCAATATGAGAATATAATAGGATCTCGTTTAAAAATTGGATTTCTTGATTTTCAGATCAGTTATATTTAAAAATTATTTATATGTTGCATTTTACTTTTACAAAATAATTTTTTCTTTCATGAAAACAGTTAAATTCGTTGTACTGTTCAAATTCATCGTGTTTCATGTTATTCATAAAATTATCATTCATAAAACATTGTTTACGTATATTAGAATACAAAACTTTATTGCTAGATTAAATATTACATCGGTTCTACTTCATCATTTTAAATTTATATTTTTCAATTTATATTTGTTTCAGGTGAGTAATATCCCGGATAATGTATTTCTAAAGATAAGAGGCATTTTTTGGTAAGTGAAGGCATAATCGTTCTTTAAAAAAAAAAGAAAAAAACAATAGTACATTTCGATAAGATTATTTATATTTCCAAGAACAAAGTAATAACAATTCGCGATAATACGATTGATAATAACTAATAACTGATAATATGAATATTTTTAGCATTATGGACAAAAGTATGATAATCGAAATTTATATAATCCATGCGTATAATACTTTAAACTCGTTCCAAAGGTTTCTCTCTCGCGATAAAGTACAGCGATTCGTTATTGCTACAATGTTTCTTCGATAATTTCAACGACGATGAGTAATGATCGTAGACGCAAAGAAATGAGATATATTTTTCCTTTCCAGGAAAGGAGAAAAAAAGTACCGTTACGAATTCAATAAACTCCCGTGCGTAAACAACTTTATAAAACTTTATATCGCAAAAGGAATTGAAATTAAAATTAAAATTTTATTTTACAATAGTATCGAAAAATATTTATATATATATATAAAAAGATAATTATTCACGCGAAAAGGAAACTATTTTTAATGACTTCTTTTTTAAATATTTAAGTTGCATTATTTTTTAATAAACCATCACAATTGAAACCTTCACAAATGGACGACATAATTGAATTTAACTATATTGAGCTATAAATCAATAATTAATTTCAACATATTTTTCCTTACTACGTAAATTATAAACCGTGACAACCATAATACGATAGAAAAAAACTTTGAAATTTAAAAATTCATAATAAAATAAGAAAATAATAAAATAGTAAAATAAGAACAGCTGATCCGTTAGAAGGCAAAAAAGGGAAAGAAGCCTGCACGCTCCGGCGAACGCCTATAAATCAAAATAGGACACGTGCTAACTCGCGATCGTTGCTTTGTGGTCCGTTGCTCGTTTACCGACCTCAGAATTTCATCAATGGAGGCTGTTATTGCGAGAGATAGGCGTCCGGGATCCGATAGGACTGAATGAACTAGCGGCTGAACTCGACTGGAACGGCGAGCCTAATACTCCCACTCCACTCTTTCTCTCCCTCTTTGCTCGGACAATGGTTGCTATCTGCATCGGTTGTCAACTCGACTTCTTACCTGGCCTCGAATCCTCTTCGTTTCTAGAAATGTTTGATGTGCGTTGTTACACTTTTTTTTTCGTATTCGAGAGATAATGAAAATTCCTTTTTCCATTCTAATTTAACATCTTTTGGAATCTTGATTAGGAATAAATTTAAATTGGAAAAATAGATTTGCTTCTATGATCTTTGCAAATTCGAATATTTTTTCCAAGACTTTTTGATCCAAAATTTTGTCTCAGTCAGAGATAATATATTTCCTAATTTCTAATTTTAAATTTTCCACGTTCTCAAAAATATCACGATAGTCTCGACGTTCGAGCCTTCGCCCGAAGTTTCATCAGGAATGCATTATATTCATTCGAAGTTTCTTTCTTTTTTTTTTTTTTCTTCATTTAAAATCCAGCGGCGTGCACACGGTTTCGCACGATTTACGAGAGAAATAAAATCGCTCGGTATCCTTGAACATCCGTTCGAACCGAGTGATTTCAACGTGGAAACAGCACACTCTTTGCACATTGTTACGCAACGGAATGTTAACGTAAACAGGTAGTGACTCGGGCTACACGGTCTCTCTGTACGTAAGTCTGTCTCTTTCTCTTTGCTGTTACGTTGAAAAATACGATCCGAGGATCGAAGGCGGACAATCGATGACTATTTTTATTTTTCTCGAAACGACGAACAACGATATCACTGTTCGAGAACAATTTATATTCTTCCTTCTATCTCTGCCCGATCCTTGCCAATTTGGTGGGGCGAATTATCGGAGTATAAGTTAAGGAAAATAAATTTTGAAAAAATTTAACGCGCAGTATTTGTTTATCGCGAAGAAGAAGTTTGTAGAATTGTTGTTGGTGAGAGATTTTATCGTGGATCGGGAATTTATTTGGACTTTAATGCGATTATTGTTCGAATCAAAGTGGCGTGTAAAGATAATTGATTTTATTATCGAGATGATAGATAATTGTTTTATGTAAGTTAAGATTTATTTAATAGAGATGTTCAATAGAGACAATAATAGGAATTTGTTTGAATTTTAAAGTAATTGTGTTTGGATTAAAGTGGCGTATAAAGATAATTGATTTTATTACGAGATGATAATTGAAAGATAATTGTTCGAATCTTTGTTTTATATAAGTTAAGATTTTTTTTTTTTTCTTTTTATATTTTACGCATATGTGGTTATATAAAGAATCAATTGGAATATCGTTCTTTTTTATGAAATTTATGTAACAGGGATATGCAATTGATAGTGATTGTTAGAAGAAGAATATTAATTTTCGCGGAAGCGATGAGAAAATAAGAGAATTACGAAAGAAGACTAAGATAAGCGATTTAAAAGTGGATATTGTGCGAGATTTTTTTCAAAGAGATCCATGAGCAAAGATTATGCAATCAATCTTTTTTTTCTAAAAAGATTTTCATTATTCGAAAAAACATTTTGAAATGCATCTCACTCGATTGAACGATAGTAATAAGTAACTATGAATCGATTAAAAAATAGCAATGTAAATCTAAATCAATTGCAATAACTTCTAAAAGGAAAAAGTTTCGTAATAATTGCAAAGACAATCAACAGATATATCTAACCTTGAATTTTTCTCAATTAAGTTAAAGTTAAAGACTTGAACAAAATCATTTAACTGGCCAATATTTTTCAAAAAGAACTGAAGATGAAATTTTCATAACAATTGTTATCAAAAGACAAAATCTCTCTTAAGATTTTAAGATCTCATTTATAAAGATAAAATATATAATCTCTCCGATCCATCGTCCATAAACTGAACAACAAATTTCAATGACCTCGAACGAAACTTGACATTACTTCGTTTACCATCGAATGGTAAAAAAGGCCATTTTTCTGAAACACGGTTGACTCGCGCCTCCTCGTTTCCCAAGCGGACAAATTGAGAGTCACGAGGAAACCGCGTGTCCAACCGGTTTCTCCTCTCGTTGCGTCACGCGTCGGTCATCCTTCTTCCAAACTCGGCCTGGCCTCCTCCCCGACGCGGCGACGCGGTGCGGCGAAGAAGGGAAACGGGAGACGAGTCTACGAGAAGAAGCGACCGGTCATCACAGAGGTCTTTTCACTCGAGAGTTCAACTTATGCGTGCTACTCTACTCGAACGAGCAGGTGTGTCGCGTCCAGTCAACGAAACACGAAGAAAACGTCCAACGTTGTTCCCGCTATTCCTCTTCGCCGATACGTACTCTCCTCTCTCGAAAAGTGTTCTCTCGCCTTTGTGTATTTGTATTTGCGGAGGAGATCGTCTCGAGGATGGCGCGGTTCCAATTTTTTTTTTCTTTCTTTTTTTTTTTTTTTTTTCTTGCCTCTTTACTCTTCTTTACCGACTTCCGTTCGGATTGTCAGTTTCAGGTACTTACAGTGGAAGTAGAATTTTGCATTTGTTTAATCCTGAAAAAGAGAATGTTGAATCAATTTTTTTTAAATAGGCGAATAATCGCAGGAGATAAGGGATAATCCTCGGATCCCGGCTCGAATAAATAAAATTTTAAATAAAGATTCAACTTTTTTATCGAAAAACCGCACAAAGTGAATCATGCAGCAGAAAACTTTTCGCGACAAATATTGGATTTTTGTAGGTGCATTTTTCTGGCCGAAAAATTGTGACGAATATAGAAATTTTTATTATTCGATGGTTAGATTTATATCTAAATTCGAATTAACAAAATGTTTCTTAATTCATCAGAACAACAACGTTAAAATATTACGAAAAAAAAAGTGACGACCGAAAGAGGTTAGAAAACGTCCATCTTGTAAATTGCAACTCGTTATTACAAAGTTTGGAAATAATATGCGTGTACGAGCTATTTAACCATTTTACACGTAGAATCGAGAAAATGCAGTTTCTAATTTCTTTCGAACACGTTCTTCCGTCGAAACGTTTTCGATTCGAGGTTCAACGTGATTCGTATACGGTGCATTTCGAGGTTGGAATGCGGATTCGTCTCTGAACCGTATTTTCTCCTTTTTGACATTATCGAACCAGCCGTGTAAATCACACGGTTGCGAATCTCGTAACGAAAGCCATCAAACGTTTCATTACCGCGGAAAACAGGCGAAACGGTACTTTATGCTAATAATATTACGATAATCTAAATTCTACGAGATTTATAGAACGATTTACGTAAGAATTCTTCGTTTCGCTTCTGTTTCCCTTTAATTGCATTATTTGTCGTCTAACCTCGTCTCGTTTCACTAATAACGAGGATTAAACTCTTGGAATTTGTTGTCTTAGGTCTGGTATGCAATAGAGAGTTCGATATTGGATAGAATACAGTGTACGTATGGGAGAAAGTGAGTGACATATTATCGAAATATTAATACCAAATACTTACTTAATTTTGATACGAAATGGATAAAATATGAAAATTACATTTATTATATTATCTAATGTTTAATCTATTCTATTATATCTAGTTGTCAGGTTACTATGCTCTTCTATTTAAATATAAATTGTTGTAGTTTCATACATCAATCTGATTTCAAAATGGTGCACATTTGTCAACAAGGGGAAAAGATTCGTCTTTCGATTGTTATCATGGGTCATCAACGACCCACGCCGCATTCCACCTGTTGGCGTACATCTTTCTAAGGCTGTAGCTGGAAAATGTCAACCAACTTTCTCCAGAAAGTATTTCGTAGTATTTTTCAATGACAATCTATCATAAGTACACGCGTGTTTTTCTTAATCATTCGAATATGAATGAAAAAATTGTAAACAGAGTATTACAGACAGGGTTCTACGCAATTTGTATATTTCACGTTGTCGATTAAAGATAAACCGATTCAAAATATTTTTACTCACATTTCTTTACGAAATTATATACAAAGAATGTAATGGAACGCCATATTTCGAGGTAGATTGGAAAGTAGATTCGATCAAAAGAAATGGGGTCACACAGGAAAAGCTGATCCAAATCCTATTATTAAGTAGATATTCATAGGTACTCTCGAAATCGAATTGGTTAATGAAGACATTTTAAACGACTTTTACCGAGTTTATTTCTTTTGTACAGAAAATTACTATTTCAGTTGAAAGTTTCTCCTATTTTTTTTTTCTTTCTTTCTTTTTTTTTTTTTTAATTGACAACAACGACAAAAATAGATGTTAATAAGAAGAATTGTTAAAATTGTCAGTTCAAGAACTTAACGAAAGTCATCGTTTAAAAAATTTAATTTCAAATGAAGAAATTTTCAATTCCTCTTCCATCAATTTTCTTATCTTTTCAATTAAAAAGCTCGTCTAATATTAATTTTTATGCTTTGCAC